ACTGTTGGAGTATGTGTAACGTTGACGTGAGTACTGTTCCACCCTCCGCTGTCTGTAGATGTGATTCCTCTAAGTATATCTAATAAGTATATCTTAAGCAACCATTTCCATGTGCTTAGCCTCCAAGACACTCTTTTATAGTTTGATCCAATGAGCATGCTGCCAAAAACTCAATAATGTGTGCTGTTTTATTTTAAGATAGGCCTTACCCAAACCTAACCATCCCCTGCTCCACATGAAAACAATGATTTAGCATTCCATTAAAGGAAAAATCTCTTACTGTCAAAGCACAGCTCACTGTATGCGATACACAACAAATGATCAGCTCTGTCATGGAATAAACAGCCATATATTAAAATATGTTTAAGTTTTGACTCAGCATGCTTAAATTCCATGTTTGTATAATAAAATTAAGTCCTCCATCCTACCCCCACCCTCTGAAAAAATTGACAACAATGTAAAAAGGGAAACTTCTCATAGCGGGCATATACCGTACTCTAGTGTCTTAATGTTAATTCCATGTAATAGAAACGTCGTAGGTTGTTTGAAAAGCCAGAAAAGTTTCAGTTCTGCTAGTCTTAGAAGAAAAAAATTGTGCCAAAACATTACAGTTCTTTTCACATCGTCGGTTGTTTGTCACATAGTTGAATAAAAGCTCTAAACAATTGCATGAAGTCAGTCCTGATATACCTGTGTAGATTTATATGATAAGATACTGTATATATCACGCTGTGTTACAGATTTAGGAGCATTGTCATGGCGTTCGCCGTGAGATGCAATGGGCCAATAAGTGCAATATTTTATGAATTATACCCTGTACATAGTTTCTCCCGTCCTCGAGTACAATGACCCCAGCTGCCGTATGTGAGTGACAGTAGGTCAGAATAACTCGTAAAAACCCGAGGATGTGCTTCATTCAGTAACTGAATGTGCGACTGTAAGTGTGTATGTGTGCGTGTACCTGCCATATTGAAGAGACAAATTACGTAATATAGTGTACTGTTTGTGTATACCTTTTGTACAAATGTATTCACATACTATATGCTGTTCCTGCTAACTGTTGGTTGTTGACCGAACTTGTATTATCATGTCAAAATGCAGTGTTGTTGTGACAGATAGTCAGGGAGAAAACTTAGTCCATGACATATGCCATACTGTTTTACTAATGCCAAGAATAGGAATACACATGAACTAGTTTAAAGCGCCTGCGTGTACACATCTGTGTATGTGTGTGACATTATGATTTGATGCCAGTAGCCATGAAATAAATTACTGTAATGGTCGCATTCATTTCATAGAGGGATGGTTAGCCTCAGCCCAACAGTCACTAGAGTAAAAATGCCATTTTAAAACATTATGTCTTTACATATAACTGAATATATTTATTTGTTGGAGTGCAAGCAGACTAAGAAGTATGTTTTTGAGATTATAGGAAATAAATCCAATTCTATCTGCGGGCGTTTGTGTCCTTCGTGACTCTTTGTTCACTCGTGAAGCGTGAAGATTGCTCTCCAACCCGCACCTGATGTTTCAGTGAAATTGCTCTGGTTTCATTTTAAGGCAAAGTGCGCCACCTAGTGACACGATGCTGGATTAGCACCAGAGCGGAAGTGACGAATTTATGGTGAGTAGAACCCACTATAACTACAATGTACATTTGAACGTTGTACTTTTATCGCACTATTTTGAGTAGAAAATGTTGTATTTATCATTTTATTTACTTTTTTACTATAGTTTTACCTGATAGGCATTGTCATAGGTACACACTATTAACTGTAACTCGATTGGCGGTGCAATAAAAACACAATTGTGAAGCTACTTTAAGTATACAGTCACCAGACATTCCATTAGGTACACTTTGTTAGTACTGGTTGGGTCAAGCTTCATTCTTCATGACAAAGTGCTGGAAACATTCTTTAGAGATTTTGGTCCATATTGACATGATAGCATCGGACAGTTACTGCACATCCATGATGCAAATCTCCCCCTCTACCACATCCCAAAGGTGCTCTGATGGATTTAGTTCCAGTGACTGTCGAAGCCACTTGAGTACAGTTGTCATTTTTAAGACGACAGTTTGAGATGATTTGAGCTTTGGTACATAAACAGTTTGCTAGGTAGGCTGTGGTGTACTTCGGGGTGACTGTAGCTTGGTGGTTGGTTGGAGGTTCGATCCCTGTCTGCTCCAGGCTGCATGCTAAATACCTTTGGCATAATACTAATCCCAAGCTGCTCTCCGATGCATCCATCACAGTTGGAAAGAAATACCATAGTGCTTGTGCGAATGAGGCAAGTGAATGTAAAGCGCTTCAAGTACTATATAAGAACCAGCCCATTTAAGCAATGCTCACTTGGTACTAAAGAGCCCAAACTGCCCCAAGTAAATAATCCCACACAATTACACTACCATCAACAACCCGAACTGTTGATGCAGGAGGAATCCACCAAATTCTCACTCTACAATCCAAACGTTGCAGCAGAAATTGAGAAATTAAGACTCATCTCCTGCTGTCCTAATCTGCTGAGCCTGCGTGAATTGTAGACCACACTGTCTAACACTTTTGACAGTTCTTAGTTGACAGGAGTGTCACCCAGTGTGGTCTTCTGCTGCTTTAGTGTTCAACATGTTGTGTTTTCCCTGTTCTCTTGTGCATACTTTGGTTTAGTCTTTCATTTATTTAATGTTGCCTTCTGATCAGCTCGAAGCATTCTGGCCATTCTACTCTGACCTCTGGCATCAATGAGGTATTTTCACCCTGAGAACTGCTGCTCACTGGATTTTTTCCTTTTCAGACTGTTCTCTGTAAACCCCAGAGACGGTTGTAAGGAAAAATCATAGTAGATCAGCAGCCTCTGAAATACTGCCATCACCGTTCTTCCCCACTCTAATGCTCCAGTTGAACTTCAGTAGGTCATCTTGACCATGTCTACCTATGTATCTACCCAAATGCACCAAATTGCTGCCACGTGATTGGCTTATTAGATATTTGCATTGATGAGATGCTAAAGTTGTTTGTCCTAAATTGCTCACAAAGCCTATCCTTGTTGTCACAGGGCAAACTCTGGTGCACATCCTGGACAGGCCGCCAGTCTATCGGGGCTAACGCATAGATGCAGGGGATCTTTCACACCTATGGCCAATTAAGAATCACGAATTACCCTAATACCCATGTCTTTGCCTCAAAGACATCATGTCACTCAGATGTACAGCTGCTTTGTCTTGGCTCTTCCTCTTGAGCATTTCAAAGCAATTTGTGCATTCATAATTGCTGAGAGACACGTGCTCTACAGCAGTGGTCTGCCTTAATATTTTGCACACCAAAGGGCAAGCCACAATTTCAAGGCACCGCTTATACTCATATCAGCAGAAAGTTCCTGATATTTTTTTCACTGCCGAAGTGTCAAAACTTATGCCTTAATCACCTTATGAGACACCTCAGTAGGTATGAAGAGATTGTTTTATGAGAAAACTGTGACTCAATTCTCCAATACCTTAAAAAACAATCCAAGCAAGAAATGATTAGGCAGAATCAACCCATGCTTTTATTTAATCCATTGCATATAAAAACTTTTTTCATTCTTTTTATTTGTTTTTTACATAAAGTTGTATGATCTACAGTGCTATCCAATAGACTGCAATTAACAAGGAATCCATTAAAATAAAAATTTAATTGTCCTGTGAAACGTCCAGACAAGTTGGCATTCTAAAGACATAACCCAAAATATAATTGTCCCAAAGACCTTTTTTTTTCTTCTTTTTTTTGTCTTAAAGTTACAGTTTGTATTCTCCTTTCACACCATAAAAAAATAGAACACATAATGAGAAAAGAACCCACTATTTCCATTGGTCCAGGGCTGTTTAGAATCTACAGTATGTGTGTCAAAATAAGAGTCCATGTTTCAGGACAATGATGCAGTCGCCCAAACCCCTTGAATCCCACCCCATACCCCCACCCCCACCTCTCCCTTCACTACACAAATATAATAAACCCTTCTCCTGTGCAGGCAGAGAGATGTCAGTGGTTTTGGATATTGCAAGTAATGTGAGTGGTCGTGCGGGCAGAGCATAGATAAGCAACACACCGCCAGTGTTTCAGCCATAATTAATGCAGCAGTGGCTGAACATGCAGATGTGTCTCGAAGCCTCTGTGCTTTGTAGGGCCGTAGTCAAGCAACAGCTATACACGACTGTTGCGCCCCATTCAGTGTTTCTGTAGCTGCGAGACAGCCACGCAGAAGCAGGTGATGCGGCAGCCAAAAAAGCGACTCCCACATCACGTTTCCTTCTGACAGGCTGAATCACATCTGTGAGTGTAGAGGCAGAGCGTAAAGGAAGTGTGAGCTGTTCAGACCAGGTCTACAGCAAACTCGACTCTTGGGACATCCGGCTGGCTATAGGCCACACATCACTCATGTGGTAAATCTCAGGCTTGCGGTCGAACCGAGTCTCCGCACACGTCTGCACCGACGGCGTATTTTCAAAGCAGCGCCGTAGCTGCGAGACAGAGCAAACCGTGTTTGGCTGTGATTGTGGAAAAGGCAACTTTTCTCAGCAGGAGATCGGGCCGACCCGAGCCAAAAAGATTCACCACTGCAGCAAAAAGAGAACTAGAGAATTCAAAAAATAAAAAGGCTAAAAGTAAATGACGTGTTGAATTTAAGGCACAGCCCATGGGCCAAGGAACAGTTTCTTTTTTTTTTCTTAAAAAAAACAATTTGGCTTTCCCTCTCTCTTCACTGAGCTACTTCTCAGCTAAGCAACATGTCGATGGATCGTTTAGTTTTGGTTTTTTTTTTCCTTTTTTGTTGTTTTTCTTTTTTTACACCGAAATTCATGTGTAAATAAACATTCTCTCAACAAGAGGTACATAATACAGCCACACCATCACCAAAAGGGATGATAAGAATCAACCATTTACAGCAAACTGCATTATGATAGTAATAACATTAATAATTATATATTATGTACAGCACAATAAATATATGTTTGTAAACAGCGATAAAACCAGAAAACTTTTTATTACAGGTAAGGGCTCTGGGTGAGGAGGGGGGGGGGGAAGAAAGAAAGAAAAGTATTGGCACAAAATGAAAGATTAAATAAAAAGTTTTAAAATGACACATAATCAAAACGAGCACTCTTTAAAAAAGCGGTGTGCAGTACTTCAAGTGTGGTTTTTTTTTTTTTCTTTAAAGAGGTGGATTTTCTTTTAAATATTGTATGTACACTGGGGTTAAAAAGTATATTTGGATATTGTAACCTGCAAGCCTGCAATGTGGTCTATGCTACAGTGAAATATTTACTGTACCATCTTCATAATGCAAAAAAACCCCAAAAAACACACACACACACACACACAAAGAGGGAAAAAAGAATCAAGCAATAAATAATAAATTGAGGCGTAAAATATGATAGAAAAAAGTGAAGAGTTTTGGCTGTGATGTAGGGCGACAACGTTCAAGCCTATGTGCGCACGTATTTTGGCGAGTTTAAATAAAAACAATAAATGCAATCATAAATGAATATATGTATCTGTGCAAGAGTATCCGGATATCTGATGACTGCACAATGGAGCTGATTGTCTTGTCGAAAACAAAGACAGTAACTGGAGTTAACGTCGTGTAGGCAAAAAAAACCCTATAAAAACAAAAACGTGTTCGTGATGAAAAGCACATTTACAACAGGTAAAAGAAAACACAGTGACTGGAAAAAAAGCAGCAGTTCTTGATGTGCGTGTCAAATAAGGGCAAGAAAATGAAAAGAAGGACGATAAAAAGCTTTCGTAGCATTTGTATAAAATCACCCTATAATACCATTTCTATTTCTGTATACTTGGAGCACTAAACAAGCTTCTAAAAAAGGTGCTTTTTGTATCAACTACAAAGCATTGCATTGTCTTAGGATGTGTTCAAAAGAACTGCAGGCAACGACAATTAAATTTAAAGGCTTGTAACAATGTAACTGAAGTGTGAAAACCTCGGCTTTCACGCTTCCTTCTCGGTGAAGACGCTCACCAAAAACAATAGTTATTATGAATGAATTCCAAAATTCAAACTGACAGGACAAACCAAATATGAGTACAGTGGCATGGAAATAGTAGTATAAATGCTATTGGAGCAAGTGCAAACAGCTCAGAACACTCAATGTAACCCAGCTGTAAAGATATCCCCTTCAAGAAAAAAAACAAAACAAAACAAAAAAACACTGAATATCTACGACACGTTTCTCCCCCATTAGTTTCCAAAAGTTCCCTCGTTTTCTTTATTTCTAACAAAACAGAGCCTAAGATTGCAAAAGTAAATTCTAGAAAATATCTGAATCTTACATACAGTACGATACAAAAAAATTAAAGAGGTCTAGGACAGCGACACAGCCGTTTCGATTTGAGCTTGGTGTCAGTCAGGTTTTCAAGGAAGACTTCCACAGCAGAAATGTGTCTCAAAAAGTTTCCTGGTGTGCTGCAGCTTTCATCTCTGCGGCGCCCCGTCAGGTTTTCTCGACCGGATGACAGCATAACGTGCCTCCTAATTTGTAGTGGGAGGGGGGCATATGACCTAACCAAGAGGGAGGTTCTCCTTGAACACGCCAACAACGGTCTCTGTAGAGTATGGGCACTTAATAAAACACGGAAACACTGGCAAACCTTCGGGCGAGGCTGAGACGAAGCAGAAAAGGAGGAAAACGTGATGTTACGTACAGTAAGAACAGCACGGAGGAGACTATGAACTGCTGGTCCACATCCTAAACTTAAGCCTGTAAAAGGGAGGGGGCTGTAAAGGTGAAATAAAGACACACCACTTCAGTACAAATGGGAATGGAAAGGAGTTTTCCTGAGTGCAAAAAAACTTGAAGTAGTACCGGTGGGCGTGTCTGAACAAAGCGGGCAGGGAGGAGTGGCCAAGGTGGGGAGCAGCGCACGCTTTGGAACCAGAAACATGGATGTATAAAAAACACACACAGATTCAACAAAACCCAAAAAATATTCTATAAATAATCATCTGTCATTACTAAGAAGAAGAGTTAATCAGATGCTGTCCATAAACTGCTATGTGTCAGGGGATTTCGCTTTCTCCTCTTCCTCCTCTTCCTCCTCCTCTTCTGCTACCTCTTCCTCAACAACAAATGATTGTGAGCAGGGTGTTTCTCCCTCTTCTACTACCTCATCATCATCGTCATCGTCCTCCCCCACCTGTTCGTCCAAAGGTATCTCTGTTGATTCAGAGTCCTGCGTACAGAGTGTTTTAGAATCAGTACAGCTGTTTTCCTCCTCCTCCTCTTCCTCCTCCTCCTCTGGCTGGCTGCCGCTGTCTTTCTCAGTGTCCGACTCTCCGTCCTCCTCCAGGGTGAGCTCGAATTGGAACTTGTCCCCTCCCGGAGGTCGAGTGCTGTCCTCAGGCTCGTCCAACGCAGGGGAGGGACTTTGGGGGATGGTGCTTTGGTACCACTCTCTGTTGTCTTCCAACGTGTCCAGGATGTCCTGGGCATCCGGATGGACCAGGTCAGCCCACGTCTCCCACAAAGGGTGGACGATATAGTCTATGAATCCAACCTACAGAGGACACGCAGGGAAAACAGGACTCTCAGTATGTGTCTACACAGTACACAAGTACAATACACTTATCTGCCTGTGTGTGTTACCTGGCTCTTTTCCACTGAGGCATTGTGTTTGTCACACATGGGGCTGATCTCCATGCCCCTCTCCCGTTCTCGGTCACCTTGGCTGAAAAACTCTTCCATGATGCGATCCGTCCACTGCCGGTACAGCTGCAGAGGCTTGGTGGGGTTGCTCAAATCTGCACAGTGCACCATGTTCTGGAGAACCTGAATGTGACCGGTAACACAGTCTAAAACACAGCGGCAATGTCCCAAAAGACAATATAGACAGCAGCAGGAAATACTACAACAGAGACGTGGATATTAGACAGCCAGTTTTACCTGTATCCTGTCAGAATAGTTATCCAGCAATAAGACACCAGAGCTGGTCACTTTCTTAGTTTCCACCATTGTTTTCAGATCAGCCAGCAGATTCATGTGCTTGGACATGTCTGTAGCTAGCACCTTATAAAGACCAACAACAAACTGTTACTAGTACCCAGCAAAGAACACTGTCGCTTAATTTGTACGTAATATACTACACAAGGCTTTCTACTCAGACTTTATTACAAGAGATGAAACTCTTTTCACTTACGATGTCAATGACCATCTTTCGCAGTGATTGTCTTTGTTTTTTGGTCAAGTTTTGGAAGATGTCACAGTTCTCCTCTTGCAGGAGCTTGAAACCGACTGCTAGATGATGGTTCTCTAAGACGGACGAGTCATTGTACATCAGTGCCAACTCTGAATCTGCAGGGGGGAAACGATTTGTTAGTTTAGTTTGCAGAAACTTAGCAGGAAGCTGAAATAGTCCGCTGGTACACTTCTGTACATCCAACTGGAAATTCTTTTCAAGTTGCTTTTAGGCTAAGCTTAAGTTGATACACGCTGCAAGCCACTTTGTAACCCACCCCATCTCTTCCTTTTCATGCTTTGTCCTGTTAGATCAGTGTCTGCAGTCATGCATGCCTGCTCTTGTTCTGTTCTGGAGGTGTTGCCGCTGCTCTCAGTGCCTTGTGCTTTCCACACATGTGCATGTGCCAAAACCATACCGCCAAATACAAATTACCATAGATGGGAACAGCAATTCTAAACTGTGCATTTCAGTTTAATTAGATCCATAAGACAATAAATGTGCAACAATCGCCTATTAGTGCAACAAATTTCTCTAATGGTGTCTTGCTGAATTTTATGTGTGCTGCTATGGATTCCTTGGTGAATGAGCAGCAGAAGAAAGCCCCATCATGTTTACCGCTGAGAGATTTCCCACTCGCGGTCATTTGAAGGACCTCTAGCTGTATTTAGATTTTCCATTAAGATGCATTAGTGTTGGCCACAGTGAAACCGAGCAGCAGAACAGAGAAAGGGGATCCTGCTCCGTTGCTCTCTGGCTGACAGCAGATCATTCTGGTGGCACTTAACAAGGATGACTCACACTGCCTTTACTGCAGGGATTCCCCATTTGGGGCTTATGGTAAGCACTACACATTTTATGTGTGTGTTACGTGTATGCGACTGCATAGTGTGCCTTCTGTTCTGAGGCTGGTGTTAGTAATACTCTTATGCATTTGTGCCCAGTGGATATAAACTGCTTTTGTTTGAGTTTTCCTCTAAACCACCAAATTAAGGTGATATTTGTGATACCGCTAACCATAAGCAAGTGAGTCAGTTAAAGTGAGATAACAGGGGTTTAGTGTCTAGCTCAGGGATACATTAACAAACACAACATGAAGCAGGCATGCAAGTCTGGCCTGGTTATAAGCTCAGTTTAGATGCTTCTATCACTACTCTTGGTGTTAGTGAGTCACGCAGATTGTCTGGCTTTTATTTCTTCAGGTTTTGATAAATCTGTCTTTGTGATGTCTACCCTTCACTCAACAATGGAGATTACTGGAATTTAGCAACCAAAATGCAATGGCCTATAAAAAGAAATAAGACTCTCAGTGTTGATTAGGGATGGGTATCGAAAACCGGTTCTTGTTGAGAACCGGTTCCCACTGTTTCAATTCCTTGGAATT